TCAAAAATAACACATTTCAAGGATTATTAGCTTTCGATGCGACAAACAGTTATATTAATTGATTTTTGATGGAAACTAATATCAATTTGCCGGCGATTTATGTGTTTTATAAATGTTTGCATTAGATTAGGGAATATTTTTAAGTAAAATATAAAATTGTTTTTATGATTACTAAACGCCTGATATGGAGTTGACATGGATTTTGTGAAATGATGTGATTTTTCTTGAATTTCAAGTTTATAAAAGTGTATTTAAATTCACGACACGTTATAAAACAAGTGTACAGTACATTTGTATTAAGTACAGTACACTAGTGGTCTAGTAAGTTGTTTTTATTAATCAAATGAATATTGATTTTTATTTAATTTTAGTGATAATTAATTTATCATGCATATAGTTCAATAATAGTTCGAAATATTTTTAAATTATAAATATTAAGTCTAAGATACTGTATGTCTATATAGTTTATCAATTATATTGTAAAATAGATAATTGATTATTTTTCAACTTTTGGACTATTTATTTTAAACTGGTGTATTCATTTAATGATTCATATTATACACAGGTTTTTCAAATAAACAATCATTTCCAGTACATTAATACATAACAATAAATTATATAACTTTATTGTATAATATTTCTGACAATCGATTATTTATAACAAGTGTTTGTAAAACAAATTCATTGACTATAATGATAGTGAATTGGAGGTCGTGGTAGACCTACATCGATGCCCAGGTGTTTGACACTCTCATTGAAGGCTACCTTAATGTTAACAATAGGATTGCCATTGCTTTTGATTTTGGCATTCACTTCGAGTAGTTTATTCTGTTCTGTGCGGGCGTTCACTAAATCTAACCGTCCATTGAAGTCGAGGAATCGTTTATAGATATCGGGATAGTCTTGTAGATTAAACAGGGGTGATATGGCTGAGTCAAAGTCCAGTGCCGTTAGCACTGTTATCACAGCCTATTTCACATCAACCATTCATCACAAACTAATTAATAGTTTTTAATCATTTTTTAGGAATACCTGATCGAAGCCGAGGAATGTCTTAAACTCATCCCTAAATTTATGGAGGGCTGACAAACGGATCATATTATTGTCGGTGAACTGAATATAATAATTAATTAATTGTCATAAAAATGAGAGAGAGAGAGAGAGAGAGAGAGAGAGAAAGAGAAAGAGAGAGAGAGAGAGAGAGAGGTCATTACTTTAATGGCAGACAATTGTGGTATTTGTTTGAGTCCCGCAGCGACCGCTTCAATCAAATCGACTGTCATTTTAAACATAAATTAATTAAAACCAGAAAAATATATTTAAAATTGTTTACAATTCAGTTCTCCAGCCATAGAGGGTATATGATAGTAAAGTAGTGGTGTATTGGGCGCCGCCCTACCGAACCCCTTCAGAAAGTTGAGCCAATCGTCAACACTATTAGGTTTGTAATAATTTGGGGGCAAAACAGCGATGGCATCGAAACCCATACTTTCCACGTGTTTGGACAGATCCAGTGCCTCTTTCACACAATACGAGCTCACATTAACCACAGACGTTAGGTTTGCCTGATGTTTGTCCAGCGCCTGACGCCAGGCCTTTACGACCGACAGGCGCTCGTCATTCGTGAGGTTATATCCCTCGCCATTTGTGCCGCAGATGTAAACGCCGTCCACTTTGTTGTCCACCAAATACTTGACATATTTTGGGATTTGCGAGACATTCACTTCGCTATACGATACAAATGTTGCTATTTTTAGGTATGATATGTGGTGGACATATACTTACCCATTCTTGTCGAACGGTGTGAGTACCGGTGCCATCGCACCCCTGAATTTCAATAATTTTTCCTTACGTGGTATTAATTTTAATAGCGAGGACATTTTTAAATACAATTACTTATTTGGTTACTTATACTGTGATAAATATTAAACAATAATTTATAAGTGAATATGAATATAATTGTTCGCGTAATTTAAATATAATTAATTTATTAAATAATTATATTTATTTTAGCTAATTCAGTATTATTTCTAATGTTTACAATATCATTTTGAGTTGTGTTTTTATATTACATTTTTTCATTTCATATGATAGCAACTTAACTATGATATCCAAAACGGCCTTGATACAAACACACTTAAGTTTTGACGTACATTAATGTATGAATTAAATTATAACTTTAATGTCATAAACCAATATAATACAATACTTAACTTTAAACTTTTACATCAAATAAATTTACTTTTGATAATTTAAATATAAAGGTGAGAGAATTTTAGAAATAATTATTAATAATTAGAGTACAAATTAGTTAATTATATTAATATATTATTAAACTAGTTAACTTACTAACGAGTAAGTAATGTTTTATTGTAATAATGATAATACAGATGTTAAACTGACATAAATGTATATATATTTAAATCTCTATAATATTTCTCAATAAAGAATATTTACAAAAGTTTTGTTTAACAAAATTCCCAATAAATTAACACAATTTACTGTTGTTTAACAAACAATCTATTGTTTAATAACGAGTATTTATAAAACAAATTCATTGACTATAATGATAGTGAATTGGAGGTCGTGGAAGACCCATATCAATACCCAGGTGTTTGACACTCTCATTGAAAGCCACTTTAATGTTCATAAACGGATTCCCTGTTCCCCTGATTTTTGCATTCACATCGAGTAGTTTATTCTGTTCTGTGCGGGCGTTCACTAAATCTAACCGTCCATTGAAATCCAGAAATCGTTTATAGATATCGGGATAGTCTTGCAAATTAAACATTCCTGTTATGGCTGAGTCAAAGTCCAGTGCCGTGAGCACCGTTAGCAAAGGCTATTTGAAATAAAAGTCATTCATTCATTACAAACTAATTTATTTTTAAGCATATTAACGGAATACCTGATCCAATCCTAGGAATACCTTTAACTCATCCTTTAATTTATGAAGGGCTGAGAGTTGTAATAAATTAATGCCAGAGTACTAAATATAATTAAAAATTAAATTATATAAATACTTTGTGTGTGTGTGTGTGTGTGTGAGAGAGAGAGAGAGAGAGAGAGCACTAGTGACTAGTGTTTATAGAAAAGAGAAATTGAATTGAATTGAAGAATAAGGAGTAAATAGAGAACAAGTGATGGAATGCAGGAATGTCTTGGACA